GCCGTCGCAAAGCCCACAGCTGCAGCAGCCGGCTGGCAAAGCACCTCCGGCGGAAGTAGCCGCCCATTTTAATTGAATGGGGTGTAGGGTTTAGAGTTTAGGGTTTGGGGTTCCGATCAACCCTAGCACCTGAAGTCTTGAAGTACTTGGTAACCCCAATAGTAAGCTCTACAGTAGCCTTTGCCGCAACGATCGCTTATAGTAACCTCCCGAAACCCCAAACCCGAAACAAAATAGAAACCCATGCCCTGATCTTTTTCGGGCGATCGCAGCCTCTCCAACCTTGCTTGGAATGTACAGCGCGGAAGGCTAAAGGCCGCATGTATGTTTTTTGTATATATATATATATATATATTGGCCTGAAAGTAATCCCTGTTTAAGTACTTTGGAGCCAAAGTATAGACTATGTGAGTACGTGGGCCTGGGGGTAGGACGTATTTTTCTTTGAAGCCCTAAAAGAACACTGAAACCCTTGTATTGTGCCCTAGTCGTCGTGGTCGTCGTCGTCGTTGCCGCCCCCATTTCAGTTCTTCCTCAAGTACTAACTCTGAAACAACTAACAATAAAGTTTTAACAAAAAAACATACTAGAATTACTAGTAGTAGCAAATCATATTAAGAATGATTCAGAATGCTCACGACATCACGATATTACAAGTTCTAATTAATAGTAGCAACAGTAGTAGTGGTAGTAGTAATAGTAGCAGCAGCAGCAGCAGGAGGAGGAGTAGTAGTAGTAGTGGTGGTGGTAGTGGTAGTCGTAGTCGCAGTAGTCGTAGTCGTAGTAGTCGTAGTCGAAGTCGTAGTCGTAGTCGTACTAGTAGCAGTAAAAGGAGAGAGGAGGAGGAGGAGGAGGAGGAGTAGAAGTAGTAGCATGACAAGCAGGTACAGTAGTAGAAGTAGCAGTAGCGTTAGCAGTGGCAGTGGCAGCGGTAGCAGCAGCCGTCGCATTAGCAGTAACAGTAGCAGTAGCAGTAGCAGTAGCAGTAGCAGCAGCAGCAGCAGCAGCAGCAGCAGGAGTAGTAGTAGTAGTAGTAGTAGTAGTAGTGGTAGTGGTAGTAGCAGTAGTAGGAGGAGCAGCAGCAGCAGTCTTTTGATAAGACTAGTAATAACGGTTATAAGTTACAATGGCTGAAAAGCTTTGCTTGCTGTTCTGCTGCAGGAAGAAAGCTTGACTTGTACAGACCAGTAATTGCAGCACAGGCTCTCTGCGGTGAGGCTGCCACTCTCTTGAGGGCATTGCTAAGACGCTTCTGGGCAGAGTCGGAAAATCCACCTCTTCAGCAGGAGGACATGCCAAGATCAAGCCTCAAGAGCGTTTAAATCCTCGACATGCCGACACAGGCGGCAGACAGCTGTTATCCCAATTTCGCTTGCCTGACCTTTGCTTCCCAAGGCTTCGCCGAAGGATTTCAGATTGTCCTCCTCTGCCAACTCCGTCAAGTGTGCTGCTCCCATCTGGTGGCACCATGCTTCCGCTGCTGTTTCGTAGCTGGAAAGGCCAACGCTGCTGAGAAGACCTCGGCTTCAGATTGCTCTGCACGGCAATTCAAGGCTTTCTCGCTTTCACGACAAGCTGCTGGAAAGGCCCGGGACAGTTTCAGCGGTTCCAAAAGTAGGGCTCCCCTCCAACCTCCACTCGCGCTTTGCCTGAGAATCTGCGCAAAATGCCAACAGCGTCAACAGCTCTAGTTTGCAGATACCAGCACAAGCTGTCTCCGTGTGAGCATGCTGCGGTGGTCGACTGACAAGAGCCCGCGATCTGAATGCGGTCTGAGTCTTCGGAATCAGTGGGCGATCCTTCCAGGGAATACCCTCTACAGCACGTTTCTCCATATGTGTGCGCACACACTACAGCGTTCTTTCAACCCTCTTCCTGTGGGGCTGAAGCAGTCATGAGGCATCAAGCCGGGCAACATGACTGCCACAGCGGGCATGACGCAACACGTCATAGGGCAGTGCCACGGACAAGACTGGAACTCAAATACGAATGCGAAGCTTGAGCAGCACCAAAGATTTCACTGCGATTCCTCCTTCGCTTGAAAACATGCGCATGGAACAGAGCGTGCCCTCAGCACAGCGCCACAAGTCCTTCCTGGGAAATCTGGGTCTGAGTACCTTCGAACGTTGACTTCGACTTCAATGCCTACCACAACTCTGTGCAGACTCTCAGGACGGCACGATCTAGAAACTCCTAGGCGCAGCATGTGCAGCAAAATGGTGCATCTGCACTCATGATATTGTCAGCAGCGGTCCTTGATCAGCAAGCCATCCTCAAGGATCCTCGCGGTGCCAGGACTTGTTTCGCCTCGCCCAAGCTCAAAGCACAATGAAGCCATCCACAGAAGATTTGTGGCAGTCAGAAGGGACTCCGACAACAAACAAAGCCACTACGTCGATAACTTCCATGACCATGCACCGATCTGAGCTAGATGTTGAACTCAGTCTTGGAGCTTGAGGGCCGCCAGGAGGCTCACAGGCAACAAGAGCTTAATATTGCGATCGGCCCTCCCTGGAACCTCCATCATCACGAAGCTTTTGCTGCAACTCCTTCGAGCTGCACGTGGACAGGCACTCAATTGCGGCAGCTCAGCCAGCGAATAGTACCAGAGTCAAGTGGCAGGTCAGGCGCAAAGCCGGAGCCCGGTCGTAGCTGAGCAGAATGATTGCTAATGCACACTGTAGCACTCGCAGTTCAGATGCCTTGAATCGTTCTGTCGGACCTGCCGAAGCCCCCAAACTCCCAGGCCCACTCTAATTGCACGGTACCCAGCGAGACAAGACTGCGCATCGGTCGAAACGGTAGGAGGTTGAATCCAACAGAGCAAATCCGAGTGTTTTGGACACTTGACAGGCTCAAAAGTTGCATTCCCAGACGACGATAACGAATGTTCATTTTCGACAACACTGTGCTAGAAAATGTTGCTGCTGAGCTCATTCAACAGAAAATCAACACCTTATTTCTCTGAGTTCCCGTTTGGCGAGCGACTGATCTAGTGCTGCTTCAGTCTTGTGGTCACTACACGGTAGCCGGCCACGACACCATGCTCCCTCACTGCTTGAAATACGTGAACAGATGTTGGTTGCTTCGTGAGCACACAACACACACACACACACACGGCAGTCATCGCCCTGCATGTGCAATCTGCGACTTCGCCTTGGCCTTGACACTGGGAGCAAGTTCTCGTTTGTACGATTCCCTTGCTTCGACCTTCGTGTCAGCTTTGGTGCTCGGAGTCATGCATTGTTGCTGCTGTTGCAACTCACGAATATCTTCTGCGAGTGAACGGCATGTGGTCAGACAGGAGAGCGGACAGACTTCCTGGTTCGGAACTCTGACGTTGAAGCTAATTTGATGCTGCGAAAAGCTGCTGCATCACTCGTGCCAATAAGGTCTAGTTTGCCTTGGCCATGCTCTTCGTAAGTGTCGGCATGCAGCATTCTGCATGCCAGGCAATGAACTGAAGGGAACTCATGGCGTGCTGCCATGAGTGTCAAATCACGAAAGAATGGTTCTTCACCCCGTCCTCGTAGGCTATGAGTCTTTCCACCACTTGGTTGTACGAGAGGTTGCCCAACACTTCGTGCGACTGCGTGTCCTGGCCGATCTTTCAAGAGACACGAACGCATGCCCGCCCGCCCGCCAAATGCTCGCCAACGCGCAAACGCTCGCACGCACGCACACTCTAATACATACATACACACAGATGCGCACTTCTTCAACCACTTCTTCATGCATCACATCTCCATCATGCATGCACAACAGCCTGACAGCAATCCTCCTTTGCAATGATCCAGCCGTGAAACAAAGCGATGTCCAGCCTTTCTGGCATTTTTTTTGCACGAGATTTTACAGCTTCAGGTGTTAGGGTACAAGACCCCGACAGCCCTAAACTCAAACCCTGGCCCTGGCCCTAAACCTGGTGCAAGGCATCTGAGGTGCCAACATGTCGAAAACTGTGGTTTCCTGCGTGTACTCAAAATCAGCCACACCTTCCAGGCAGCAACAGTTGAAAACAAAGCACAGGCTGCTCTGGAGCTTTGCAGACCGATGCTCATCGGAGAAACTGTTTTCCTTCAAACACTGCACAATTCGGGTCCATCTGCACGACAAAATGCCAAAAACTATCTGCTCCCGATTCGTGACCATCGGAAACAGACGGAGGACACGACTGGGACTTCGAAGAAAATGACGACAAACTGCGACTACGAGACTGAACACTCACCAAAGAAGCGTCCAATTGCACAACAGTTGCCTGAGTCCGGGCGAAGATGCTGTAAATTGTCATGTCGGCAAATGGGTTACTTGAAAAAGGACCCGTGCTCTCCTTACCGTTCCAATTGTCATTAGTTGCAGGTCAAGAGTCCTCCCGGATGTGCCATCTGTCAACTAAGGAAGTGCAAGGCGAGAGGGAGAGCAGATCGTGAGCCTCCAAAGCGGCAGTTCACATCCAAACCGACATTGAGTTTTGGCCTGGGCCAGAAATGACGCGGCTCGGCGGAAAAACACAGCGGCTAAGAACATCTGCAGCTCTGAGGCGTTCTCAATACTTCCAAACAAGAATTCAGGCTTTCTCGAAGATTCGCAGCTCGTGAACCTTGACGCAGTTGCACAAACAGTGTTTTGCCTGAGCAAGATCCATCTCAGGCTAATTGACCCAGGTGTCACTGAACTAACATGCTGGGCCAAAAACTGTCGCCACCACCTGATATTGCCAAGACTCATGTGAAGAAGGCACATCGCACACAAGCACGTCGGCATTGTCAGTCATTTGTGCTTTCTCAGTTGCGTGACTGTCTTTGGAATTGGCTTCGAAAAGCCAATCCGACACCATCTGGACCAACTCCATGAAAGTGACGTACCTGACAGTTGCTTGCAGCAAGCTAGCCGAACTCGTTGCTCACGTGCAGATGATATACCAGTCCATGGCCTGAGGTCTGGGTTGATCTTCAACACGTTACGCAACAAGAGAACCTCAGTGCTCAAACTCTGGCTGCAAGCTGCGACTGTGAACATGACTCAGAGCAACAAGCCAAAGGTGGCGACATTGCAAATAGCAAGGAGGGGACAAGGACCGTTCCTGCGATATGCGTCGCAGTTCATTGTACCTCACACAACTCTCAACAAATCCGAGGCACAGGCTTGCTCTGCAAAAGAATACGGCGCTCGGCTCCAAAGAAGATGATATCCTCCAGCGAAAACTCGTCACCGTTCTATTGAAGTCCACAATGAACACCTTCACCCGGTAGTTGTCTGTGCTGTCATCTTCCATGCTAAAACAAAGCGGCTTGCGTCTTGGCGTTTTATGCTCTCGAGGTGGCAGTGCGATGAGGTGTTTATCCGTGCTCACTGTCTGTGTTGAGTCTATCAACTCGCATCTAAACACTGTCTTGTACTTGTAGCCCTAAGATATTGTTGAAATACGTCTTTTTCGATAGCCTGTGCTGTAGCTGTTCCGGGTAAGATCTCGATTACTTGCCTCGGTGCGAAGTGGCGGCATGACATATTGCAACATCTCAGACAGTAATCAAAGACAGGCACAACATGATGAGAAGTATGCTCCACTGCGGCCCAGTGAACGTGCTCCGGCAAATTCAGGACACTGAACTTAACAGTGCCAATCACAGACAACAGATATTGACAACTATTGAAAGTGTCAGGGAAGGTCTGACACAAACTTTCAGTCACGATATACACACTTATTTTTCGAGTTAACCACGACGATTTATCAACAAAAAGCAAGCGGCGTCAAATGAAAATGTGGCATGATGGGTGAACAAATGAAATCGATGAGAAACAAAACCAACGAGAAACACATCGCACATGGCACGTGTCATGCGGATATTGCGAGCCGTTGTACAATCACACATGATCATGGATGCGCAGGTGTGCCTGTCAATTTCAATGATTCCCCAAACAGTGTGGCAACAACACTGCGGGTTTTTGGAAGATTGATTGCAATTCCGCGCGACGTGGGTGAATTTTGGCTCCACTTCCTGTCATTTATTGCAGCCAATGACACAAGATTCGCGACGTGGGCCGCCGCTGCGATGCGGTGATACTTTTCGCCAACGTCCTTTTCTTTGGAGGATTCGCCTGAAAAGCGAGCCCGAGGGCAGGGTTCATTGCCAGTAATACCACATGGACCAGGTTTTTTGGAACGTTGAATCGCTGATACTTGTGAGTGTTCCTGCGGGTCTGCAAGCTAGGGAAGAAAAAAGCATAAGTCTCGTGTTCCCAGAGCGCGTTTTTCGTCTTGTGTTCCCGAGCAAGCTTTCCTGGATTTGCCAGTACTCGGAGGAAAGCATCCTCGTCCCAACCCTCGTCTTCGAAAGGCTTTCCTCCTTGGCTGTTTCATCCATATGCAGTTCTCCAAAAAGATTTTTGGGGTGGGAATGGCTGTGTTGCAGCAATGCAGGTCCTCGCAAAATATAGCCATCGAAACAAATTAAACGAAGAGTCGAACAAAACTGCGAAGGTGAAACAAGCGCACACACTTTGTACAGACAAAGTGAAGGGCAAGATACATTTCCAAGTTGCAGTTTCAGTTTTTCTCAATTAGCCTTCTGTGAGTCCTCCGTGTGTTCTGTTGTGTCCTCTGTCTCCTCTGCCTCTGTGCTCCTCTGCGATCACGGTCAGAACACGCGAATGCTTCCGGGAGTTTTGGCTCTGCTAGGAGTTTTGGGGAGAATCCAGCTTGCGTCAAAACCCAGGCATCGCTGTCGATGAAGGCTGCCGGAGAAGGACAACCCTTGGGCCTGCAAGTGCGAATTTCGTTCACCCCTCTCTCTGACGATTGGTAGACATTGAAAAACAAAAACTGCGTTCAAACGATGCCTTCGACTTTTTCTCCCTCGTCGAGAAGTCCGGCCGCGGAGATTTCATGCAGTCGTGGTTACCGGCAGCTGCCGCATGTATCTATTAACACGCGGATCC